AAGTGTGAGATAGGTTAGGCAGAAGGCTGGCAGACTGTTTGCCACTTTTTACGCCCAATTGATGTGGGCTTAACGCCTCAATGCTTACAAGCTGCGATCTGGAGGGAAGAGCGAAGGGGAGAGGGGAAGAGCGGGGGAAGAGTGAGGCAGAGCTGGAGAAAGCGCCGTCTCAAAGGTTTCAGTTGCGTTGACTGCAACGCCTTTTTCCTGGCTCCTTGACACTGGGGGCGTTCTCTATTTATTACATTTAACGCAGGTTTATTTTTTTTCTACATATTTTCGGCGTAGACGTCTGCAGCAACAAAATGGCGGAAATGCCAGAAATTTTGGATAATTTAATTTAAAGCGAGGGTCTCAAATGCAGAGGTTGTTGTTGTAGTGGCTGCAAGTCTAAATGCCAGCGAGCGACTATTGAGACTAATCACGCTAATGCGCAAGTTTGTCGCAAAGACGAACGACAGATGGCGCTGCAGTTGTGTGTATCGTGTGTGTGTGTGCTGTGTGTGTGTGCTGTGTGTGTGTGCCTGTTATCCACCTGCCTTCAATAATACGTACACCAAATGCCAAATTATTTATTTATTATATGTGCAACTGACCAAAGCAGCACAGCACACACACACACACTCATACACACACACTCTCACACACACACAGCTAGCGCGCTTTTGCAGCACACGCACTGAACGAGATTTCATTACAACTCATTTGACAGTCTTGGTGCACTCGACGCTGCCAAAATGTCATACCTGAGTGGCAGCAGTGCCACGCCCCCCCCCCCTTACCCCCTACCCCTATCCTTACCCCTAACCCTTTAACAGCCTGTGCTGCAGATTAGCGCGCAACTGTGTGTGCGTGTGTGAGTGCGGAGCCAACGCGAAATTAAGCGAAATGAAGTTGACCACGTTTCGATTTGGCATCAAAGCCAAACGCAGTCTCGCAGCCGCTGCTTAGCTCAACGCACACCATCCCGCGCCCGCCCCCTCCCCACAGCCAGCCAGCACACCTTGACCCATCGACATACACCCAATAAAACATCCAACAGTGTTGTCAAACGTCGCTGAGTCCAATGTTGAAAACAGCTCTAAATAGCTGCATTGGGTTTCTGCTTAAGCTTAGCTCACTGTCAAAAAGCAGCTGAAGACGATTTAAAAAGTGGCTAAAAATAGCTACATTTAACTGTCAAGCTGGCTTGAAGTGTTTTCTTAAAAGCCACAAAAAGGCTGCGAACTAACTTGTGTAGAAACAGTCGTAGCTTTTCTTGTGCAGTGCTTGAAATCTGGATTTTCCGGCCAAGCAACCCGCTTCCAGCTTCTGCTTAGCTTCTTTTAGCCTCTTTTTACAATTTAAGTTAACATAGGGCGTAATTTTAGAAAAGTATCTAAACGTTAAGCTTTTTGATAACAGAAATTTAAATTAACTTCAGCTAGAAACAGCATTTTGTACTGTCAAACTGAAGCTGAAAATGATTAAAAACTGGCTAAAACAAGCTAAATTTAATGGGCATGCTGGAGTGAAGTGCTTCATTAAGGAACACATCTTTTCGTCCAAAATACTTTAACAAAAAGCTAAAAAGAAAATAGTCAAAGTTACAGGCAGCTGCAGGCTTCTCGAAAGCCAGCCAAATTTAGCTAGAAAAGAGCTGCATCGACAGCACTGACCACCACGCTCTTACGCCCAGTTCTCGCAGTTCAGTGGCCAGTGGCTCGGCTCGGCTCAGCTGCAGCTGCAACTGCAACTGCAACTGGCTGGCCCCATGCATTGTTAATACAATTCGAGTCCAACGTCAATAACCAAGTGCCACGAATGGACCATTAGTTGGCTGCGTAGTTGATGTGCAACATGCAGCATTTGTTGTTGTTGTTGTTGTTGTTGCAGTTGCCCGCTTTGATGGCTGCAACGTTTCTTCGCTTTGCTGCACAAACACACACGCAAACACACAGAGAGAGAGAGATATGCGCCTGTATATATCTGCATTTATGTATTCGATATATTCATAGATATACATATAATTATGCGGCTTAGCTATATCCTGTTTGGTTCTCTCGATTCAAACTGCGGTCTCAACAGCCAATTGAATAAAGCAATTGCCAGAAATGCACGCACAAATAATAAGCGATCGATTAATATGGCAATTGAATCGAAAATAGACGGTTAGAAAAGTTTAGAGGGAATCCATTTTATTAACTAAACGTATTTCGAGTATATAAATGAGTAAATAAGTATTTCGCATTGTGTTTTGATATTAGCGAACAATTTAAAGACCCGCGTTGGGCGCCAAACTAAAAACTATCTGTTGATAAGAAAATCAAAAACTGTCGTTCAACAAACTAAGTAAAAGATTATTAAGAAACTTATTTCTCTATAAGTATATAAACAATCCTTCACATATATTTTGTTCTATTTTGTGCTATTGAGATTAAGACTTGATTTGAACCGGTGACCTCTCACTTGCTAGTCTGACTAGAAATATTTAGAGGGAAGTCATTTAATTAACTGAGTGTATTTGTGAAAATTTGGCATTGGGTTATGATACTAGCGAACACGCGTTGGGCGCCACATTAAAACTGTTTGGTGATAAAGGCATCAAAAACTGTCGTACAACAAACTTAGTAAGCGCTGACTAAGAAACTAAATACTGCTACTTATAAAAATGTTTCTTTATTTTGTGCTTATGAGATTAAGACTAAATTTGAACCAGTGACCTCTCGCCTGCTAGTCTGAATCTCTCAGGCACCTAAGCTACACAGGCTCATAACAATACGTTTGTTATAAATGTATTTCATACAAGCTTTGATCATGTTTTTTCCCCCACATAGATGTAAAATTATCCAGAATCCCTTCTTAGGTCTAACGTTGGGCGCCAAGTGGATGCTACATTAAAAAATGTTAAGTAACATATGTAACTACAGAATGTTTATTGCCCAATTGCCTTAAAAAAAACGAAACTAAAAGTTCTGCTCAGAAAAACTCCAAACTTCCCAGAACAACTCTGTCCCTCATTTAACTTAATGTTCAGACATTGGCCAAATAAAGTAATTTGACTTTTGGGCTACAAAAGATAACTAAAAACAACTTAATATTATATATAATTTATATGCAAGAGCGAATGGCGAGTCTTGAGACTTGTGATTTGCATGTCTGGCGCCCATAAAAGTATGCAACAATTTTCGGCCAACATGAGAGCAGTGCGCATTGTCTGGCAGCTGTTATTACTCAGACGAGGAAGCGGCTAAAACGAGAACAACAACAACAACAACAACAAAAACAACAAGAACTTAACTGCCACTCAGCCACGCAGTCACATGGCAAACTTACAAGTAATACTTAGCCTAAATGGGCACAAGTGGCCCGTCGAGTGGCCTCACGAGTCGGTGCCTAACTACTTGATATGTTATATGATGCGAAATTTTTGTAATGAAGTTATCGACAAGGCCCCGCAGCCTCGCCACCCCTCCACTCCCCTAGCCCCTCTGCCCATGGGGCCCACGAACGTCTAGTGAGCATAGATAGACACGTTTAAGGATATGTGGAACAATATGCAAATGTTACTTTGTTATGCAATTAGTGAATTCAATACGAGCCACTCGGCAAACGGTACTCGGCAAACAGACAACGTCAGCAACGGTAAAAGCAACGGTTACAATAACGGTAACGGTAACCGTAACGTCAACGTCAACGACGAAGCCACTCGAACAACGCTCAGACCAAGCACTGCAGTTAAATGTACCGTTAGCATTCGGAATCGAAGCCATTATATGGTTACAACTGGTTCGAAACTATTAAAACTACAATTATACGAACAAATAATGCCCTGCATTTAGCCTAAATTAAATATTATACAATTTGAAACTTAGCCCGATTTAACATCAAGTCAACACAAAAGTGATATTGGTTCCGATGATAATTGGCCCCAATATCAATCTAATATGGCCCTGCAATTTGCAGTTATTAAGTTAACTGGCACAAAGTTGGTTACAATTTGACCCTTAGCCATATTTTGTAATTTGTGCGTACTGTGAACCGTTATAAACTATAAATATTTTAGAAACCTAACCTAACTTTTTTAATACAAAAATCGCAAAATTTTATAATAAAATAATTTTAAATTAAATTTTTTCAAATCAAATCGAATAAAACTAACGCCTAGAGAGTTTATCAAGAACATCTGATGATTAATATAAGATGATATTATACACTGCTAAAATCTGGTAATACCGGATCATTTTCTATGGCAAGCTTTATCTATATAGCTTAAGAACTTGTCAGTAGATTGCATAGAATCAGACAAATAAGGAAATCATATCGACTCAGCTGGGGATACTGATTAAAATTACATATTGTCGTGGGATAGTGACGTCACATTATCAACGGCTGGCATTAACAGAAGTACACACGGTCACTCTTGCAGCAAGTCCCATGTATGTAAGAGATTATGTTAAACATTACTGTTAAGAGTCAGACTAGCGTAGAACATGAAAAGAACTGTGAGACTGAAGATAGAATATTTACATACATACAGATAATTAATAGAGACAGAAACAAATAAACTTTATCATCCTCTCACAATATATACAAATTTTAGGGAGACGAAACATCTCCTTTAATGCTTTAAAATGTTCTTCACAATATTATAAAACGCTCTGAAAAGGTTCATGGCTTTTTTTAAAAATTAAAAATATTATACACGGACACAATGTTGAAATCAATAAATAAATACTCTTCTTTAAAACCCATATGCCCCCGCTTCTCTTGTACAGGTATTTCACAATTAAAAAAAAAAAATAGGTCGATCATAACTTCAATGCGCAGCATACAAACCGAGTTATGCAATCAATTCATTGCCCGCTTATCTATCGCGCTTTCGCCCTCTTTCTAAAATCTCGTCGTCCTCTTCTTCTTCTTTATCTTCTCCGCAATTAATTCAATGCCCGCTTATCTATCACGCTAACGACATCTTTCTAACATGCTCGTCTTCTTCTTCTTATCTTTCTTCTCGACAGGCAAAAATGATGGAGAACTCGCACGCCTGGATGGGCACCACAGGCTCCACGCTAGCAGGTTTGTACGACGCAATTAACTGTGAGCTTTTTGCACTTACCCGAGCTTGATGTGCCGTTGTTTTGTTTGCCACCTCCAGCAGACAGCTATCAATATCAGCTGCAGTCGATGTGGCAAAAATGCTGGAACACCAATCAGAATCTGATGCATCATATGCGCTTTCGGGAGCGCGGCCCGCTCAAATCGTGGCGGCCCGAGACGATGGCCGAGGCCATATTCAGTGTGCTGAAGGAGGGCCTATCGCTGTCGCAGGCGGCGCGCAAATATGATATACCCTATCCGACGTTTGTGCTGTATGCGAATCGGGTGCACAATATGCTGGGGCCCTCGATCGATGGCGGGCCCGATTTGCGGCCGAAGGGGCGCGGGCGGCCGCAGCGCATACTGTTGGGCATCTGGCCGGATGAGCACATCAAGGGCGTCATCAAGACGGTCGTGTTTCGCGATACCAAGGACATGAAGGACGACAGCTTGGGCGCGCATATGCCGCCCTACGGCCGCCATTCGGTATGTAGCAGGAAAAACATAAATTAATTCACAAACACTTTCACTTTAAACAAAAATATTAGACACACGCGAGTTAATTATAGCAGCCACTTTTTTCCGATTAATTCGATATCGATTAATACGTGATTTTAATGACAGCTGAGTCCTCTTTAAGCGGCCTGTTAAGCTTTACATTCGATGTTAGATCAATTCAGTATCGATTAACACCTGTTCCTTGTAGATAAGAGCGCTATCTTTAAGCGGCATGTTAAGCTTTGCATGTAATGTTAGATCAGTGCAACTTTAATTGCAGGCAGATAACAGCGCTGTCTTAGATCAATACAGCTTATGTTAGATCAATACGAAATCGGTTAACAGCATCATTAGGCATCGATGCCCTGCAGTGCCAAATTGTCAAAGCTGTGTTCGGGTGTTAAGCTTTACATTAATTGTCGATACTTCTACGAATTTTTAATAAGTGATCTGGTAATGTTAATTTAGTTTATCTAAGCTAACAGACATCGATGCCTTATAATATAACATTTGCAAAACTGCCGCCAAACTGAAACGTTAAGCTCAATAGAAAATATCGATACTTGTTGTCGTTAATCGATTAATCGCAACAGGCATGGATAGCTCCCAATTCGACAAAGCCAGGTTTTTGTTTTTTATGGTTTCTATTAAAATGGCCAACACTTGCACTAAACTCTTGATCGGGTTAGCCCGTGTTTCCCTTGCAGGACATGACGTTAAGCTATCCAGGCGCTAGTGGCGGCATGCCGGTCGGCGGCGCCGCCAGCCTCGGCGCTCTGGCCTGCCCGAATGGCATGGGCTCAGGTGGAGGAGGCGCTGCCGTTGGGGCAGGCGGCGGTGGAGCGGATCAGCAAATGTCCCAGGAGCAAATGTCGGCGGTGGCCGCCGTTGCGCACAATATACGTCAGCAGATGCAAATGGCCGCCGCAGCGCAGCATCAGCACGGGGAGGCGGGGCCGCCGCCGCCGCCGGGGGCTCTGTTCAATTTGCCGCCGCATCTGGCGGGTGGCGGGCCGGGCAGGGCCAGCATATCGCCGGCATTGAGCAGCGGCTCAAATCCCTCAATGGGCCAACGGCATGCGCCCTCGCCCTGCGGTCCCGCCGGCCTCATGCCGAATCTGCCGCCCAGCATGGCCGTTGCACTGCATCGTGATCCGGCCGCCGCCGCGCTGCTCAGCCAGCAGCAGCAGCATCACCTCCAGCAGCTCCAGCTGCATCAGCAGCACCAGCAGCAGCAACAACAACAACACGCTTTACACCAGCAACAGGCGCAGGCAGCGGCAGCAGCAGCTGCTGCGGCGGCGGCGGCGCATCCGCATCACATGCAGCCACACAAATCCGGTTTCGGTGCCAGTTCCATGCCCACAGCCAGCGCTGGCTCCTCCGCTGCCCAGCAGCAGCAGCAGCAGCAGCAGCAATCGCACTCCAAGTCAAAGAGCAGTCCGCTGCGCAGCGAGACGCCGCGCCTGCACTCGCCCCTCGCCGAGCTGGGCCTGGAGCTGGGCTACAAGCGCGAGTTCTCGCCCACGCGCCTCTTTGCCGAGGATCTGGCCGAGCTTGTCGGCGCCACCTCCTCCTCCGCCGCCTCCGCAAGCAGCGCAGCGACGCCGTCAACAGGCCAACCCACAGCCGGAGTAGGAGAAGCGCCCAACACGGACATCTGCGCCAGCAGCAGCGGCGGCATCAAGGTGGAGCCCATCACGACCAGCAGCGAGTAGAGGGTCTCCAAATGCGGCACCCAAAAATAACTGAACTCAAACTAAACAATCAAACGCGCGCCAGAAAAAGTGTTACCCATCTCTGGAGCAAGCGCAAGCAGCATAAAAGTGTTACCCATTTCTTTCAAGCAATTGAGATTTGAGAATTGAATTTTTCAAATGTTTGATTTAACTTTTTACTAAATAGTATTTAAAAAAAAATAGAGATGCATATATATATATATATAAATTGGTATATTTATTGATGTGCATTTCGAACGCGCGTTCCTTGTTTTTGTCGGTCCACATGAATTTTATTGCATAGTCTCTAATTTAAATAAACTACGTATTAAAAACTAAATCAAAAGTATTATTATGTTACATAGCGCCTAAACTTAAACAATTAAATAGCGATCTCTTTAATTTTTAATAGTACACGCAAAACTCTAAAAATACCCCGGAACATTCCACAGCAAACAACACAAAACAGTTTCTCAAAACCTAAAACTAAAAAAAAAACCAAAAAAATAAAAAAAAACAAAAACTAATAGTAAAAATAAAAGAAAATCGTTTTTAAACATTAGCAATTGTGTGCCCAGTTTTATTTAGTTTTTAACAACAAAAAATATGTACAAAAAATTAAAACTTTTGGATGTGCATTAAAAAAAAAAAAAACCAAATAAGAAAATGGAGAAAACTGAAAATTGCAACTAAATTTAATGTTTAGGTCTTAAAAGAAAAAAAAACAAACAAAAAACAAAAACAATGAAATTCACAAAAAATGCCTTTCGGAATTCAATTCAGAGTCAAAAAACAAAAAAATGAGAAATTGTTAGATTAAAAAACCAAAAAAATAAAATTTGTAAATTAAACGTGAATTTTTTAACAAACAAACAACTTTAAAGGTATTTATACAAAAACAAAAAAAAAATCAAACAAAAATTTAGCGAAAATTGTGAAAATGAAATTTAGAAGCAAAATTTACTCAAAACGAAAGTTGTTGTGCACTCGAAAAAATTGGCGATATTTTTTTTTAAATATTTACAAAATTAAAAATTTTTTTTTTAATTGAGCTACTTTGATGCGTTACACGGGTGTTAAATATTATACATTGGTATAATTAGGGTGTTTTCTAGTCGGTCACGCCCGATTTTTTTTTTTAACCAATTTTCTTCCACTTTAATTTCTACTCTTCTAAAGTGCCTTTTCTAGCCTTAATTTTATCTTAAGCGCATTTTCAACTATTATTTTATATTAATTTAATTTTTTCTTTTTTAAATTAATATTTTTCGCGCCCAATTCGAGTTGAAGAACAACTTTCGTGAACTTGTTTAGCAAAAGTCTGGCATATACATGAGAAACTAAAAATATATATATTTTTGAATAAATACAAAAGTATTTGTTTTTCTGTTAAAAAAAGAAAATAATGAAAACAACTTTTAGGCGTACTTTCGGCAACATTTTTTATATATATTTTTTAAATAAAAAAAAAAAAATCAACAAGAAGAAGAAGCAGCAGCCCTCATTTGAAGCACACAATAAATAAACACGATTTAAAAGAAATGTAAACGTAAAAAATAGCAAAAAACTTTTTACCAAAAAAATAAAAAGCGGCAAATAAAAATCAAATCTATAAAAACTTAAGTATTTATACAGCAATAGCCATAGCCATATAAACCGACACATATATATATATGTATATGTATGTATGTACGTAATACCCATATGATAAACCACGCCCCCCCCCCCCCCGCCCCCCAACAACCCCTCACCAAAATAGACTCTAATGTTCCACAAAACGAACCCTTCCAACTTTGGTATATTACGAGTATTTAATTAAAAAAAAATAATATAAAAATAATACGTTTTTAAAGCTAACCCGAATTCTCCAGGAATTAAATATCATTATTATGCGAACGTTTCAGTTTTCTATCAACTTTAGTGCAAAACTTTATGTTCAAATTAACTTTAAATGTCGAAATGAATGTTCTTATTAATCTAATAACAAACAAAAAAAAATGGAAAAAAAAAATGAAATAAAATATTTTATAAAAACAAACTGAAAAACTTAAGAGTTTGAGTTGTGTTTCTCTTTCAAGGGGAACTTGTGGAACCATTCGGCACCTTTGGTCATTTTTTTGCGGGTTAATTCCACGCGAATGTGTGTAAAAATCGCGAAATAAGTTTGTACAAAACTTTTTTATCCGATCGGCTAATAAATCTTATTCAGATATCTTTGCGAGAATTTATTTTCACGTGCCACGGACAAGGCCGGGGTATACCCGCTGGTATCCTAAATAGACATAGGTCAAAATTTCCCAACACCATAACTCGGTCAAATCTCAAGAGATTTTCACCAGGATTGGCTTTTTGTTCATGGTTTTCCCTCTAAAATAATCTGGCATTTAAATCTGATAACACATTTTTGAGTCGAAATGCGTGTCAAAATCTTACCCCTAGGATTCGTATATAGTCATAGGTCAAAATTTCCCACCCCCATAACTCGGCCAAAACTGAACCGATTTTCCCGAGGTTTAGCTTTTTTTTCATGGTTTTTCCTCTAAAATAATCTGGCATTTAAATCTGATAACACATTTTTGAGTCGAAATTCATGTCCAAATCTTACCCCCAGGATTCATATATAGACATAGGTAGAATTTTCCCAATCCCATAACTCGGCTAAAATTCAACCGATTTTCATGAGGCTTGACTTTTTGTTCATGGTTTTCCCTCTAAAATAATCTGGCATTTAAATCTGACCACACATTTTTCAGTCGAAATTCATGTGAAAATCTAACCCCCAGGGATTCGTCTATAGACTTGGGTCAATATTTCCTACCCCCATAACTCGGGCAAAACTCAACCGATTTTCACGAGGTTTAGCTTTTTGTTCATGGTTTTCCCTCTAAAATAATCTGGCATTTAAATCTGACCACATATTTTTGGGTCGAAATTCATGTCAAAATCTTACCCCCAGGATTCATATATAGACATAGGTAGAAATTTCCCAATCCCATAACTCGGCTAAAATTCAACCGATTTTCATGAGGTTTGGCTTTTTGTCCATGATTTTCCCTCTAAAATAATCTGGCATTTAAATCTGATAACACATTTTTGAGTCGAAATTCATGTCCAAATCTTACCCCTAGGATTCGTATATAGACATGGGTCAAAATTTCCCAACCCCATAACTCGGCTAAAATTCAACCGATTTTTATGAGACTTGGCTTTAGTGCATGGTTTTCCCTCTAAAATAATCTGGCATTTAAATCTGAACACACATTTTTGAGTCGAAATTCATGTCAAAATCTTACCCCTAGGATTCGTTTATAGACATAGGTCAAAATTTCCCACCACCATAACTCGGCCAAAACTCAACCGATTTTCACGAGATTTGGCTTTTTGTCCATGGTTTTCCCTCTAAAATAATCTGGCATTTAAACCTGAACACACATTTTTGGGTCGAAATTCATGTCAAAATTTTACCCCCAGGATTCGTATATAGACATAGGTAGAAATTTCCCAATCCCATAACTCCGCTAAAATTCAACCGATTTTTATGAGACTTCGCTTTTAGTGCATGGTTTTCCCTCTAAAATAAACTGGCATTTAAATCTGACCACACATTTTTGAGTCGAAATTCATGTCCAAATCTTACCCATAGGATTCGTATATAGACATGGGTCGAAATTTCCCACCCCCATAACTCGGCCAAAACTCAACCGATTTTCACGAGGTTTGGCTTTTTGTTCGTGGTTTTCCCTCTTAAATATTCTGGCATTTAAATCTTACCACAAATTTTTGAGTCTAAATTTCCCACCCCCATAACTCGATCAGATCAGTTTCAAACTCTTTTTGATATCTCTTCTGGCTTAGGAGCATCTTTTTATATGGTAAAGTTCCTTAGAAAATACAATTTTTAGTTAGTATTTTTAGTATTTTAAGCACGTACAAATATTGAGTTCAAAATCGGTACAGTATTTTTCGTTGCACCATTTGACCATTTAGTATATTTGCAGTATTTTACCCCCAAAAATGTGTTTTTCCCCGACTTGATATTTAGTATATATTCAGCATTTAAAAAAAATACAATTCCAAATAGTCGAGACTTGAATGGGAAATCTTTTATTAGGTACACAAAATACAGTAAGTATTTCTGGTATTAATATTATTATAATATATAAGTTTTTAAAGTTCGAAATAACAACCAATTTTAAGTGCTTGATTTAGCTAGCAGTTAGTATTTTCAGTATTTTTTTTGGGTATTTTATAAAACCCGTTAAAATTCAAATGAAAAAAAGAAGCGGCTAATTTTGCGCTCTTATATCATATCAAGGCAATTGAATGGAACCAAAAACAGTATTTAATCAGTATTTACAGTATTTTCTTAGCATACACACACACACACACACGCACACACAGACACATAGATAAAGGCCAATTTATTGCTTTTGATTTCATGAAATGCTTAGCTGAGCTAAAGAAGCAACTGCTATTGAAGAGCCAATCCCATGCTGGGAGGCGTCACGTCGCCCGAGGGCTGATTGATCTCCTGATGGCGCTGGAGGAGACTGAGACACTGATGCAGGCACTGGGTGCTGGCCGTGGAGATGGCCTTGAGCAGCAAGAGATCGGGATCCGTGGGCGAGAAGGAAGCACAGTCAATATTCTCAATGGCGCGCGCCAGCGAAGCGTTGCTGCAAGAGGCGCAAATTAAATAATGGACACAAATGAATTATATTGCTAGGTGGACCCACCACTGCTCGGTGAGGAACAGGGCCTGGCGCGCCGAGACCATCGCATCGGAGGCGGCCAGCAGCTCGCGCGGCGGCAGCGGCGACGAATTGCTTATGTCCATGGCCTTCGTATGGCTCTCGACAACGGCGCGCAGTCCGTCGACCCATTCCTGGCGCGCACGCGCATCGTTCGCCCGCAGCTTGACCGTATCGCCCGAGGCGCACGCAATGGAAAACGTGCGCGAATCCTCATCACTCGGATAGACGACGGCGCCGGCCAGCTGCACCTG